TTTTAAACTAAAAAGACTATAAAGGATATAAAACGGTAAGTATAACACTAAAAAATCTATTTTAAACTATGGGAATTAAAATATAAAATAAGTGAAACTATTAAAATTAAAAAAAAGATTTTAACCTTAAATAAATAAGATTAATCAAATTATCATTTTTTAAATTACACATTTTATTTTTTACATATAAATTAAAATAATAGTCTTACACGAGAGTGTTTCGAAAGACTAGTCTTTATCGAAAATATTTTTAGTTAATTTTCGTAGAGTACTTTTAAAAAAAAAATCTTAATTTTTTATACTTATTAATTTATCATTTTGTTAATTTTAAGTTAAATTTTAATATTATTTTCAACTATCTTTAATCTTGTGTTATAACATAAATAATTAATTATAAACTTAGAATATAATTTATAAGAAAAATATTTTTTTAAAATTTTAATTATATATCATGTGCAGTAAAAACATTAGTTTACGATACATCTAAATAAATTTAAATTAACATAGTATTACCGTAATATATTAAACTAATAAACTTTAGTGCGTGAATATGTTTATCAAGAAAAAAAAAAACTAATAAAATCCTGTATGCCAGATTTGGAAAATATTAGCATTTACAGTGTATTTTTCGTATATATTTTAATATAAAAAAATGGTATTTTAAACGCAGACAATTGTTTTTTTTTTTGACAGCATATATTTTAAACTAATATAAACATTTGTTAGAAAACGAAAAAGCCATAGCAATAGTGCAATAAGTTATCTCTCAGACTCTCACTCTACGTTATCCAAGCCCTGGGGAGCAAAGCCATATATGCAAAGAGATAGAAAGATAAAACAGTTACACACACAAAAATGGCGCTGTTGTGTGGTTCAACTTCGGTGACTCCATTCCTCTCTCACAAGAATGTTGTTGTCACAACTGCTTCTTCTAAATCCTCCTTTGTGGCCTTTCAATTGCCACTTCCTAAGCTTACATTGTCTTCTTCTGTTCGAACCCTTTTGCCCCAAACTTCTCGTGTCCGTTCTCAACAGGATTCTACTGCGGCGGTCGCTGAAGACCCACGCTTCGTGCGCGTCGAACCCGAACCGCGATTCAAAGGCCCGGTACAATCCCTCTTCTTCTGTAAATGGGTTTCCGTTATGAATATGTGCAAATTTACTTAAGTTCTGTTTTGATAAACTAATGGGTTAACATTTATAGGAAAGAAAAATTGAAATAAGTTTTATATTGTAGTTAGATTATGTAAAAGGGTGTGTTTGGATTAATTTTTCCGGAAACACTTCTAGAAGGTAAATATTGGTAAGAAAAATAAAATAAATTTCTAGTTTTAATTTATAAAAAAAACTTATTTTTATCTTTTCTTCTTATTTTTTCTTTCATGAAATATTTGTTTTTTTTGAAAAGTTTATCCAAATAAGTCCTAAGCTAAAATGAAGATTATGGAAAAGCTAACAAGAGAGAATTTGTACAACTGAACTTACCCTAAAGTTAATTTTTTTTAGTTTGTGGGTAAGTTTATTTCTTTATTTCTTTTTTTTTTTTTTTTTTTCGTTTCTCTCTTAGAAGTGCTTCTGGAAATGTTTGTCCAAACTGGCCCTAATTGAGCTTTTTGTCTTCTGATATGGAATTTGAAGTGTTCAGTTGTTGTATTTTAAGTTAACTCATTGTAGATTTACATCGGTACTTGTAGTTCATGCCTATGTTTTCTTCTCTAGTTAGTATGGGAATGTGTAGGAGATTTCGTCTTTTCTTTTTCTTTCTTCTTTTTGCATTTTTTTTTTGAAGTGTTTTTATTTTAATATTTACATCAGTGTTCACGTTAAATGGAGTTTGAAGGTCTATCAGAGTGTTTGTTATGAATTTAGGAAATAATAATGAATTTAAGTGTCAAAATGCAATTTCTATGAACCTTGGTTTTTTTATAGGATGAATATTGAACTCCCCATCCAAAAAATGAAATTGCAGGATATTTGGAACAAGACCTGGTATCCGAAAGCTGCAGATCATGTGAATACAGAGAAAACATGGTATGTTGTTGATGCCACGGACAAAGTTCTTGGAAGACTAGCATCGACGATTGCTATTCACATCCGAGGGAAAAACTTACCAACCTACACCCCCAGTGTGGACATGGGTGCGTTTGTAATTGTGGTATGTATTTCTGCTTAACTTATTTCTGCATTGTCCCTGTCAATTTGTGATTGACAAAAGGAAGCATGATTTTCTAGTTTCTACTTAGGCTTAAATAACATTCTGCACGACAGCAGTCAATTTATACTTTAGATACTTGGCCCAAATATCAATAGTTAGAATATAGTCAATGAGTTGACAATTGTATCAGCTATTCACCAATTAGTTAGAGCAATGGGCAATTTATGTAAAAGAATAAGAGGGAGATAATAGAGGGGATTAGACTTGGAATACAAATTTGGGCAGGGAGAGAGAACCTAGTCTCTCGAATACTCTTTGAATGAGAGAGAACAACTTACACTGGGGGTTTCTATATTGATCGATATAGTTGGAGGGAGTTTCTTGCATTTTAGCCTTTCTTTTTAATGGTAGGTAAAAATGAAAAATGGATTATATGCTCCATAGATATCATATTTCATTAATTTGTCACCATCATTCTTAACTCTATTTCTGTAATAATGTCCTATTTGACATACAACCTTCAATTAAATTTTACATTTTTTATATATTGATTCTCAATTTAATCTGTAATCAATGTATTGTTTCACATTGGATTTGGAAGAGTCTTAATTAAGCAGCACTAAATCTAGTTATGTTTGAATACCTGTCATGTTTTTTGGATCATATTTGGTTGCTGCACTTAATAAGTTAATCCACAATTTGTAAATCTGAAAATAGGGACTCTTCTGCATTTAACTTTTCATAGATTGTGAGCATTTTCTATGCAACATTGCAGTTGAAGTTTTATTTGAATTATATAGACTTGAGGACAATTTAAGATCCAATAATAGTTTCCAATTTTCCATGATAAACAATTATTCAAGAAGAAAATTAAATTATATATTCAGTTACTCACTTTTCACATGATTGTCTACCTTACAACAGCCCGAGCCTTCTATAGAAGGTTTAAGTAAAGAATGTTGTGGGTTATATTTTCATCTGTTCCTGTTGAGGAGGGAAAAATGTGTTAATTACATACCAAGTTATGTGTTTGCTATACAAAGTCGAAAATCTTTTTGTTATTTAACTTGGGGTTCTAAAGGTAAATGCAGAAAAGATTGCTGTATCTGGGAAAAAGAGGACCCAAAAGCTTTATAGGAGGCACTCTGGACGACCTGGTGGTATGACTGTGGAGACATTTGCCCAACTGCAAAACAGAATTCCTGAAAGAATTGTTGAACATGCTGTTCGTGGCATGCTTCCAAAAGGAAGGGTAGGTTCAACTATAATTGATTATTTTTCCAAGACATGCATGCATAAGAAGTAGGCATGTTGAACTGGCTGATTAATGCATGATAATTGTAGAGATGGTGACGTAGTTCTAAATTATGTGATTAATTTGTAACATATCACACATGCAAGATTCATCACCATAACTGATGGAAGAATTTAGTGGTGAAGAATGAAATGAAATCCCAGGATTGTAAATTAGCTCAAGAATTTAAGTTTTGGATTGAAAGGATGCTACGATATTTTGAAGGACAGACTATAATTTTGATCGTGCTTTGGGACAAGATTGTCCCTTTGCACCGGAAAACTCTGGTTAACAGTTTCTGCTGGTAATTTTATAAGGAAGGTTATCCTCCTCATAGTATTTCATGAGTTCTTTGATTTGTTTATTTATTTTAGCAAAAATAATGTTTCACTTTTGTTGAATCCACAATAATCAAGGGTTGTTGTATGCAGCTTGGCAGGAGACTATTCACCCACCTGAAGGTTTATAAGGGTCCAGATCATCCACATGCGGCGCAGAAGCCTGTTGAGTTGCCAATAAGGGATAAGAGAATACAATTGAGTAAATAAGTCATAGGTGTAGCAGAGAACACGGAATGAAATATGACAGTTGTATTGTAAGTCTATCAATTTCACAGAACATCGAGTTTCCTGCTTTGGCTGCTACCTTGCTGATGTCTTCCATTAAATGTTTATATTGTCTTTAGAGGTAACTGATTATTGTGTTTCTTGTTTTTGTCTGAGGTCCTTTGTCGAATCTTCATAATATTTTTGTTGTAGATTTGAATCTTGACATGTAATATTTTTTAATATGGTTTTGAGTTTATTGGCAACTTTTTCATTTGAAGGAATTCATCCATCGCTTTTCTTTTTCCTCTTGGTCTGTTAGATCACCAAAATGGAAGGAAAAGAGGAATCAAAGAAAAGATTAAAGTGGAGGTTATCTTATCCACTTCAAGTTTTTGCTCCTTTCTAGTAGCTCAAATACTGTATGATATTATTTTGCTATTTATTTCAAACGGAATGAAGTAAGCCTCGAGAATGACAAATATATAGAGTCTGATCACGTTTATGTTTTCTTTCTAGATATAGAATTGTTTTTCATTTAATACTTGAAATTGGAATTGGAACTCGCTACTCTGTTACCTAACAGAATGGGTCTTTACTGTTGTCCTTGTACTATCTGCGAAACATCACAAAAGCAAAGGCTGTTTCTTCAATCAATTGCTCATAATAAACATTAGCAAATAGACAAGCTTTCATAGATAGTTGGTAAGTAGTGGTAAAATTTATTGTTGCCGATCTATCTTGAAAGGAATCAGTTTCTAATTTTCTGTTGGTGCATAAAACAGTAAAAAAACTAGCTACTAGACTAGTTTTGATAGATTATATAATCTTCACCACAGTCACTGATGGGATAGGTATCTTCTTAGTGTTGAATTTAAGCAATTATTATTATGTTAAAATTTATAATTAAAGATTAAGATATTACTATCATCTTTTAGAGTTTTTTAAAACTGCATCAAACTTTGAGACCACATGTATTGTTGTAGGTGTCGTGGGACGGTAATTAAGTTGATCAAATCGTAAGAGAGATGTCGATTAAATAAAGTAAATAACATCCTTCACTCACCCCAAGTGTCACCTAGGGGATATGGAACCATGATATCACTACATTAAACAAGCTAATAGTAAAATATATATATAAATACAAATTCTAATATATATTTTTCTCGAGAGAACTAAATAAAGTTTTGGACTACCATGTATTGAGGGCCTCCCCTTGATCAAATGAAATGCCTATATATCAAGATACCTTATGCCCATGCTCTTCCTCAACTATGTGGTTGCCGAAGTTATGGTCTAGCATACCCTCCTCCCACAGACATACACTAGCTAGAGAAGGATGAAACGTGGAAAGCATGTAACTAAAGTAGTGTTCTACGATCAAATCCTCCACTATAGTTGCACCTAAATATTGATAGGACGTGTTTGGATGAGCTTCTTCAAAGGTACTTCCAAAAGAGGAAAAATCAAAATATTTTTTTTTATAAATTAAAATTAGCTTATGTAAGAATTTAAATTTTAAAATAAGATTTTGGAGAAGTTAATAGGAGAGAATTTTTATAAATTAATTTATGCATAAGTTAATTTTAGTTTATAGAAAAATTTATTTATTTTTTTCTTCCTATTTTTCTCTATTAAAAGTGCTTTTGGAAAAATTTACCTAAACAAGTCTTACACCTAAACTTTATCTTAAGCTTGTGTTAGAGTTGAGGGTTACCGGTTTATATGCGAACATTTATGATTTCAAAGCAATCTGTTAGTAGGTAATATGTGAAACTAAGGTTGGTAGTCATTAATTATTATTATTATTTTTCTTTTTTAAGTTTAGAGCTAGTTTATGTAGATAAGTATAAGCAACACCCTTTTAACTTATTTTCAGGATACGTGAAAATTAGGAAAAGCTCGGTCAAGGTTTTTATTTTTAATTTACGCCTACTAAATTAACTAGATTAGCCATAAATTTGAAAAATTAGTCAAGTCTTTCACATATAAAGCTCGGTTTGCCAAGTGATTAATTTTCATTTACAAATGATGTTAAAATTTAGCAAATCACAACGTGTAACCATAGTTAAGGTGATAGAGACCTCATATATAATCATCCTAAATAGAGTCTCAAAAGTAATTGGGCCATTTAGGTGTAAATATGTTCCAAAACAAATAGGCTCATGATATATAAAGTTTATTACATTAATAGTACACTTTTATTTTATATATATATTTCAAAATACTATTTTTTTACTCATGTTGAATATTCGTAACATTAATTTTTATGTTATAAAAGAATATTTTTACAATTTTCAGCGGATGTGAGTGAAATGAAAGTTGTCAGAAAATCTTAAAATTTGTGTTTTTGAAAGAAAATTAAAATCCTAAACTTTTAGCTCGTTTTGAAATCTTGAAAATGGAAAAAGTGGATGCATAAGAAAGGGGTGAGTGTTTAAAAGCATTGGAGACAAGTGAGAAGAAAGGAGTTGCATGTGAATGAGAGTGAGTGCTTAAGAAAACAAAAATTAAGTGGAGAAATTAGAAAATATAACTTAAGGTAAATTTATTCTCTCAAATCTAAGATAAAAGTTCCTCAAATTTAAAATTGATTTTTTTAATTTTGTAATTTAAAAAAATATATATTATTTTAATCTTTATACTCAAATTTTATTAAAAAATTTATAAAATATTATTATATAAAATCTATCTTCTAATGTTTCTATTGGTAAAAACATCCATTAAACACAATTCATTTATATAACTGTTTCAATCTGTCACTTTTAAATATGTTATTGAAGACTTAGGAATTCAAACAAAATTTTAAAAATTAAAGACTAAAAATAATTATTTTAAATTTGAATGACAAAAAAAAATTATCCTAAACTTAAATTTGAGAAATTAAAAATATATTTAAACCATATAAAAAATATTAAGGATATTTTGAAAATTAAATAAGTAAAATAAAGGTGTATTATTAATACAAAGAAGTGTGTATATATGCGAACAAATTATTTATCCCAATTTAGCTAGTGTATTTTTTTTTGTTACATCTAATTTAGCTAGTATTTCCAAGCTAAAGTAAGCAAAAACATTATTTGCAATAAATATGCGTTTGAATTATTCTTCTAGAAAAATAATTAATTTCTTTGCACTATTATAAATGATCAGTTAATTTCAACACCAAAAAAAAATGATCAGTTAATTTAATGATCATTTAAGCTAAAACAAAGTTCAATCGTTTTAGTGGGTTCGAATTACTCTCTCGACTCACGTTTCTAGTTTCTACTCGTTTTTGTTATGTTAAGATACAAAGTGCATTAGTGCAATAGCTATAGCATGTTGTCAATGAACAAAACATCTCAAAGGTTTTGGTACATCAATTTCCTCCCACATAGCACTCTCCAACGTCTCTACCTGCCATTCAAACCACCAAGTATACAAACCACTTCTCATGCCACCGTAAAAGATTCACAAACCACCCTTGTTTTAAGCTTACAAAGCCTCACAAACCCCCCCATATCCTATTCCAAGCTCTTATCACTATGTGTTGCTTCAAAGTCCCTAACTTCAGGTATGGAACTCCATGCCCACTTGGTCAAGTTTGGATTTTCCCGCGATGCAAGTCTCAGGAATCACTTGGTAAATTTATATTCCAAGTGTTGTCGTTTTGGGTACGCCCGCAAGCTGGTTGATGAAAGTTCTGAACCAGATGTGGTTTCTTGGTCTTCTTTGGTATCTGGATATGTGCAAAATGGGTTTGTGGAGGAGGCACTGTTGGTGTTTAATGAGATGCGCTTGTTGGGTGTTAAGTGCAATGAGTTTACCTTCCCCAGTGTGCTTAAGGCATGTTCAATGATGAGGGATTTGAACATGGGGAGGAAGGTTCATGGGATGGCCGTGGTCACGGGGTTCGAGTCTGACGGGTTTGTAGCTAACACTTTGGTTGTTATGTATGCCAAGTGTGGGCTGCTAGATGATTCTAGGAGGTTGTTTGGCGGAATTGTGGGGCGAAATGTTGTCTCATGGAATGCCTTGTTCTCTTGTTATGTGCAAAGTGAGTTGTGTGGTGAGGCTGTGAATTTGTTTAAGGAAATGTTGAGCAGTGGAATAAGGCCTAATGAGTTCAGCATTTCCATCATATTGAATGCCTGTGCAGGGTTGCAGGATGGCAGTCTTGGAAGGATGGTTCATGGGCTTATGCTAAAGATGGGGCTTGATTTGGATCAGTTTTCTGCGAATGCATTGGTTGACACGTATTCTAAAGCAGGGGACATTGAAAATGCAGTTGCTGTTTTTCAGGAAATTGCACACCCTGATGTTGTTTCTTGGAATGCAGTTATTGCTGGTTGTGTTCTTCACGATCGTAATGATTGGGCTTTGATGCTGTTGGATGAGATGAAAAGCTCATGCACTTGTCCCAATATGTTCACGTTGTCCAGTGCTTTAAAGGCCTGTGCTGCAATGGGGTTCAAGGAGTTGGGTAGACAGTTACATTCTAGTTTGATAAAGATGGATGCTGATTCAGATTTGTTTACTGCTGTTGGACTTATAGATATGTATTCCAAGTGTGAAATGATGGATGATGCAAGAAGAGCTTATGATTCAATGCCAAAGAAGGATGTTATTGCATGGAACGCTTTGATCTCTGGTTACTCACAGTGTGGTAATGACTTAGAAGCAGTTTCACTTTTTTCTAAAATGTATAATAAAGATATAGATTTCAACCAAACTACTCTGTCAACAGTTCTCAAATCCGTGGCCAGCTTGCAGGCAATTAAGGTGTGTAAGCAGATTCATACAATTTCCATTAAATCTGGAATTTATTCAGATTACTATGTTATAAACAGTCTTCTTGATGCATATGGAAAATGTAACCATATAGATGAAGCTTCAAAAATATTTGAAGAGCGCTCTTGGGAAGATTTGGTAGCTTACACATCCATGATTACATCATATTCTCAATATGGGGATGGGGAGGAGGCTTTAAAGCTATATTTACAAATGCAAGATGCAGATATCAAGCCAGATCCATTTATCTGCAGTTCTCTTTTAAATGCTTGTGCAAATTTGTCTGCATATGAGCAAGGGAAACAGCTACATGTCCATGCCATCAAGTTTGGATTTATGTGTGATATTTTTGCCAGCAATTCTCTGGTTAATATGTATGCGAAATGCGGAAGCATCGAGGATGCTGATCGTGCTTTTTCTGAGATACCTAACAGAGGAATAGTTTCATGGTCTGCAATGATTGGAGGATATGCTCAGCATGGCCATGGTAAAGAGGCTCTTCAGTTGTTCAATCAAATGCTCAGAGATGGTGTGCCACCCAACCATATTACTCTAGTCAGTGTTCTTTGTGCATGTAATCATGCTGGTTTGGTAAATGAGGGAAAACAATATTTTGAAAAAATGGAGGAAATGTTTGGGATTAAACCCACACAAGAGCATTATGCTTGCATGATTGATCTCCTTGGACGATCTGGGAAATTAAATGAAGCAGTGGAGCTTGTAAATTCCATTCCATTTGAGGCCGATGGCTCAGTTTGGGGGGCCCTTCTTGGAGCTGCAAGAATCCATAAGAATATCGAACTTGGTCAGAAAGCTGCAGAGATGCTTTTTGATCTTGAGCCAGAGAAATCTGGTACACATGTTCTCCTTGCAAACATCTATGCCTCTGCAGGGATGTGGGAAAATGTTGCCAAGGTTAGAAAGCTTATGAAAGACAGCAAGGTAAAGAAGGAGCCTGGAATGAGTTGGATTGAGATCAAAGACAAGGTATACACTTTCATTGTTGGAGATAGAAGTCATTCTAGAAGCGATGAAATATATGCTAAATTGGATCGGTTGGGTGACCTTCTAAGTAAAGCAGGATATAGTCCCATTGTAGAGATTGATATACATAATGTGAACCGAAGTGAAAAGGAGAAGCTCTTATATCACCATAGTGAGAAACTAGCTGTAGCCTTTGGATTGATTGCTACGCCACCTGGAGTGCCTATTAGGGTGAAGAAGAATCTACGAATTTGTGTTGACTGTCACACCTTTTTCAGATTTGTATGTAAAGTTGTTTCCAGGGAAATTATTGTCAGAGATATTAATAGATACCACCATTTTAAAGATGGAACATGTTCTTGTGGTGATTATTGGTAATATCACCAAGATGGCACATTCTTTCATTTTCACAAGCTAAATAGATCCTTTTATCTTTATTACTGCAGCTGTTTCATGACTAAAGTGGGTATGTCAATTGAAACACACTGATGGTATTTTTTTTTTTTTTTTTTTTTGGTTTGAAAAGGTGATATAACTCTTTTCTACCGAGTCAATCCTTATAGGAGTAAAGTGTTACTTCCGGTTACAATTACATGTTCAAGGTAGGGAACGAATCCCAGACCTTGACTTAATCACTTTTGGTACACTTATTGGTATAATTATTTTGAAGTCAAATATCCAATTTACTTGAGCTTCATTATTATTTCATATTAGAGTATTGCATTTTACTCCATATTGTGGTTTACTGGTAGTGACATTTGTCTTAGTAAATATCAGAGTGAGTTTAGCATAACTCTCTATCAGGATGTTAGTTTGCTTACTTTGTACTCTTTTAGTGAGTAGCGTACTTTGTACACTTGTAAAGTAGCATGTCTTGTACACCTAAAACAACTGTGTAAAATATGGTTGGTTACTGTAACCAAAACACATTTCAATATCAATAATGTTGTTTTTCTTTCATCTTTATCTTCAACACGGTATGAAGAGAGATTATTGATCACTGATTTATGTCTTCCACTTTTCCTCCTCCTCTCTCAGCCATGTCTCCAAACACTGTAACTTTCTCTCATGCAGTCACGGAGAAACTTGACTCCAAAAACTACTTTCTATGGTGTCAACAAGTGGAGCTTGTAATCAAAGGTCACAAACTACAGTGATTTCTGACTAATCCTCAAATTCTGCAAAAATATTTCATTATCGAAGATAGGGACGAAGATTCTGTTGAAGATTATCTTGCATGAGAGTAGCAATAGCAACTCTTATCAACCAAACTTTTCTAACCCTAATCGTGGAGGCAGCAAGCACGACCATGAACATGAAGGCTCTTTTTGGTACCATTGTTTTGAGGAAAACTATGCCCCTTAAGTTACTCTTAACCAATCAGCAATTCATGAGTCCATATTGGTTTGTTCCACCGTGGAAGTGATGGAACACATCCCAACAAGATCAATATGCAGATATTCTCACTAAAGCTCTATCCCCTACACAGTTTCAACATCTACAGGCCAAGCTCAGAGTGGACTCCTCTACTTCTCACTCCTGCTGAGCTTGTTGGGGTATTAGAGTATAAGATTTTACTCTTTTATATTACGTTATATTCTGTTATTCTTTCTATTGTATTCTGTTATATTTACATGTGATAAATGTCTTTATCACAGTGGGTTTCTTAACTTTTTCTCCTTTTAGGAAATAGCTTCTGATGCACTCTTGGTTATTTTAAGAGGATTGCTATATCCACCCAAAAAGAATCTGAAAAAGAATTTGAAACAATCTCCGAAACTTTGAAATATTTACACTTTTCAATAAATTTATTATAAAATAATTATTTAATTTAATATTTTATAATTTAAATTAATTTTTTAAAGATTCGGAACAACTTTTGGAATGTGATTATGCAGTATCTAGAATTTTTCTTATTGTAATAGCTTGTTGTGTACACTCCATTTCCTACATACATATAGGTGCTGACCTCTATTTTATACAGAATAATATGTTTTTCTTCAACGCAATGCCTATTTTTCTTTCCATTTCAACGTTGTCCTGACAAAATGCATTTAATTTGTATATGAATACCTATGAAATGTTCATTCTTTTATTATTTTCAATTTGGGCTTAACTGCACTTTTGTCCTTGAAGTTGCATATTCTCACGGATTTCAATCCAAAGAAAATTTTCGGTGAATTATGCCTCTTAATTTACAAAATATCATGAATTTTTCCCCTCCCCCACCCCACTTTTGTCCCTGAAGTTACATAATCTTGCTGATTGCACTCGCAAAGAATTCTTTTCGTGAATTATGCCTCTTAAATTACAAAATGTCACTAAATTCCCCCCTCCCCCTCTCCACGAAAATACTTAAATTGCTACAATGAAGACACTTTTGTGGTTGTTTAAAGGAATAACAATGACAAAGTTTTCTTAGTTGTGGCGTTTAAAGAAATAGCCGTCACAAAATGTCTTAATTGTGGTGGTTTAAGTTAGTGGGAGCAAAGTTCACAGAAAAAAAAAAAACTATAGGGACAAAATGCGTGAAATTTTGTAACTTTGGGAGAAAAAGAGCAATTAAGTCTTTAATTTACGACTCTTAGCTACTGTTCTTTATGGAGGGTAGGTTCAAGTCTTAGCTCCTGGTTTTTTTTCTATGATGGTTCTTTCTTTTATGTATTTACTATAATTTACCTTTCATTATGCAGGGGGTTGTCAAAGATGTTCATATGTGCAAGTGCAATCAATAAAACTGAGAGTTCCTGCTCACATGATGTTTTTACTTCCGTTGTTGAATCCAAGAACAAAAAGGTGATGCACTCTTCTCATACAAAGGGTGTTGTCGAATAATATACAACAACAAAAGTACAAAACAAATTAGAATCAACCACCTACTAATGAAACATCAGAATACTGCAAGATGGATTAGGACCATCTAGAGTTTCATAAGAATTGCAAGAATGTGCAATTTAAATTCAACTTTTTATTACATTTTTTTTTGTTACAAGGTAAATTATTTATATGGTTGAAATGCAGGGAGCATAACATTTCTCCTTTTAGGGCCCAAGAGCATTCACAACTACAGTTTGCCACCAGTTTTTTTACCAAGGTGGTTAATTCAAATCTTGTGCACGAGTGAAAAACTCTACCAGGGAAATACATGTTAGAGAAATGCTATCATACATATACATTTTTTGAAATATATTTTGAATTATTAAATTGAATTTTATTGAAAACCACTCAAGATTTTGTAATTTGTATTTGTAATAAATTTTGACTAATAAATAGTGTCTCAATAAGAATGTGTAAAAAAGCATTCCTTACAAATAGTTAGTTTAAATAGGATTATGCGAGTTTAGAAAGAATAAATATTTTTTATAGTTGAAAGAAGTGCTATAAAACTCAAACGGTCAAATAGTATCAGTTAGTGAGAGCTAGTGTCTCAGTTGAACCCTGTGTATGATTAAAAACAAAAAAATATTAAAGGTTCAATGTTCAAAGCTCCAAGAAAAGAAAGTGATAGATTCCTGTTATCCTTTTTTTTTTTTTACCATGATCCTAAGTAAAATCACATCAGAAAGTAGTATCTTAAACGCTTTCTCATTCTAATATAAAGAAAGAAATGAGAGAGTTCTAAATTCTTGAGTCCTATTTGCTAAGAAAATATAACGTAGAGAACAAAAATGATGAAAATATTAAAGTCCAAGCAAAGCAGCAGAAAGGATTTCATTCCAAGTATCAGGAGCACCAGCTAGACACCAGTGACTGCAGTCCTCATAAGAAGGGCCTTTGCCTGTGAAAATAGAAGGGTGTCCATCTATCCTCATTTGTGTCATCAAAGTAATGTCAAGCAAATATACAGGACATGACATACTACTCAAAACTTTCTGCACAATTTCTACACCAGGATAAGGTGGCTGTGGTCCTTGATATGGGTGAGTTTGATTGAGACACCCTTTTTCCCTTCAAAATTCAGGACAAAAGATGAGTCTTTCAATTCAACTTTTCTAATCAACATTATTAACCATAGCAAATTACATGTCATAATTGTTTTGGTGATTATAAGCATTATGATTTATTTTTGGATTCAGCTCCCTCTAAAGTGAAAGCAACTCACTTTAGAGACTACGTAATTTGTGTATAAGATCATCAAATGTTAATGTTCCACGAACATGCATAACAAATCATATAAGTATTGCTATCAATTGATTTTCTCATCAATGTATATCAATATAATGATGCCTTATTTTTCTTCTTTGGCTCTCTTCTCTGGAAATTGCTAAATTCATGTGGAGTTTAGATGGTTAGGAAAATGGTATACAAAAACGTTTAGCTGGCAACTAGTTTGACAATTGAGTATATTTTTAACAACTTATGATTAATTTCATTGAGGACTTTTAAATTGAAAAAGAAAAGACAGGAATTTACTAATGAAACTCTGCTTTAACTATTAAACCTCAAATACTTAAAAAGTATACAAATCAACAAATGAGGTATGGCATGTGGTGGTACACTACATCACTCAAGTTGGCTTGACATAATGTTTTTCTACACTTCTATTCTCATTTTTCTCCCAATAAACTAACAACATATATTGACCAAAAAACAATAATAATAACAATATGTGAGTTGTCTCAATTGGTAGAGTCTTTAGTATCAAGGGCAATCAGATGAGATCAAATCTGCTTTCACAATTAACAAGAATCTAAAGTAAAATTATTTCAAATATAAGGCTGGGAAGTTGAAAAGTGTTTCTGGATAAATTAAAAGTAATAAATTAGCTAATTTTGTTGCAACTAAAACATATTTTAGTGAATGACTAATGAGAAATTAAACTTACTCTGAATGACTAATCTATTACAGATTTTTCATGTGAATTTTAGTTGGAGTGAAATGACTAATGAGCAGTTAAACTTACTCATAATGGGATGCAGCAATTCCTTGGAACAAAACTGTAGTCTTTGAGGGATCAATGTTAGCATCAACCCATTTAGACCAAGTTGTTAACCCAATCTTGAAGGCTTCCATGGGATCCATGTCTTTTATTATCTCATTGCCTACTTGAAATTGAACCAATCTGTTAAACATCAAAACATTATTAATTAGCCACTTGCTTAACATTTCCAATTAATAATATCCTAAATATCTTTTTGGTTTTGTAAAATACTTGTTTTTCATTTTTAGTCTCTAAAATATTTTTGTTTAACTTTTGGTTCTATAATATATATATATATATATATATATATTTTATATTTTTATCCTGTCATTACTTTTTCATTGTTTTTACATGATATGTTCATAAAATAGACATTATTTCAAGAGAATTTAAACCTCTTGATATTTGACACGTCATGCATAAACAGTAAAAAGTAATGGTAGAGACTTAAAAAAAAAAAAAATTACAGAACCAGAAGTTAAAATTTTTCAGAAACTAAAAGCGAAAAACAAACATATTACAGGATATTTAAGCCTTATGCAAAAGTTATAGTTCAAAAACTTGAGTACGATTCAGAATCTTGTGAGTGGGTCCACCAATGATAGGTATTGAAAATCAACACATCTACTCCATTCCACTTATTTGCAGATTTAATGGAGTCCAGTTTCACAATTCTGCCTTTTTCTTTGTGATGAACCACGTCCACTAGGAACCCATTTTTCAACCACATTATTGAAGCATCATATTCCTATAACCCAAAATAACTGGATAATTATTAATAATCTGACTAATCAATCATCAAGGCTCAAAATTTCCCTTTACTTAAAATGGAATTGAAGAAAACTACCAGAAATGTGAACACAGAGAGCTGCTTTGTTGGAGTTTGTAAGGCATAGTTTGATTGTGGGACAGCAATGTGAAGCAAACAAGTAAGTGACTGCCACATATTGTTGCTTATGGAGTCTCCCACAAACATTATCTTCTTCCCTCTGTATCTCTCCAAGAAATCCACCCCATTAAACCTGTTAATCAACATCACTTGTGAAGGAACAACAACAACAAAATCTTATCCCACAATGTGAGATCAACTACGAGGCCCTCTAATTCCCTTTCTCTTATCCGTTAAAATTTATTGAAAATTAAAAAATTAAAAGAGAATTGGTAAATAAGGTGTGGGACCCACTATTCAAAATGTTACTGGTATTCCTCAATCAACCATATAGATCACACCACATCATTCACCTTGGTAAAAGATTAATGTTCCATAGATGTTATTATTTACCACTTGTGAAATGACAAAAATAAAAATAAAAATAAAAATGGAGGCTTTCAATTGAAAGTAAAACAAGATGCCTATAAGTGATGAAATATACACAAAATGAAATCTAAAAGTAAGAAAAGTTGAAACATTACCTAGGAAGATCACAACTTGAGGGCTTCCATCTATACTTGAGATATTCCAGATCAGGTCTACCATTTTTTAGGCAATCAAATCCCTGCCCTATGAAGGGACAATCCCTTGAAGCATCATAAAGAGGGTAATAGGAGTCATCAATAACCCATTTTCCCAAAGAAAAATCACAACCATGTCCTTGAACATGGTACAGTGGTGATGCCAGTGACCACAGAACAGTTAAGCTCAGAACACAAAACCAGGAATAGAATGCCATTTGAAATTGTCCTAAACCTTTTCACACCATGATTGTTTGCCATTTGTATACATGGGAATGCCCCAAGAGAGAGAAGCTTGCATTGAGGAGAATTATATTTGGACAAATCATTTACTTTTATATGCGTGACAAAATCTAAACAAGATTCAAGGCTTCCACTTTTAGAATTTTTCTTCTTTTATTTTAATCTATGTTTCAAACTAGATTGTGACCCGCGTAATGCGAGGGTATATATAAACAAAATCATTGAGAATTTTAAATATTATTGAAAAAAATGTTATCCTAATTTTGTAAATAAACATAGAAAATTAGTACATATTATAAATAAGTATTGTGTTAATATTATTAAATAACAATTATATCATATAAATCACATTAATTTTTTAGTAAAAAGTTTCACTATACTTTTAGTTATTTAATTTGAATTTTTTATTTTGATCTTTATTTTTTTAACATAAATTAAGAAAATATTGTCCTATCCCTAAGTGTTTTTAACCTTAAATCTTTAAATTCTCATTTCTTTTACTAAAAAAAATTAATAAAGAGAAATGATAAAGCATTTTAAATCTTCTGCACAAAACTCGTTATAATATATTACTATTTTTATAGTATTTTAAAATCATATTATTATTAACTTATTTAAGTTATATATATATATATATATTATAATTTTCATTTCATGTACCATAGAATATATATTTACTTCTAAAAAATAAAAAAATTTATATAAATTATTAATATTAATAATATTATTGATAAATTAATAATAAAAATATTATTAATATAATTTTAAATAAAATGTTAATTTAATAAATATAGATTAATGTATTAATAATGCATATATTTTTTTTCTCTTTAATCCCTGTAACAAATAGACAACAAAAATTAAAATAAAACAGAAAAATATGTATATAAACTAAAATGAAATATTTTTAACTTAAGACTAAAAAGAAAAATTTATGAAGTTATATGAATTAAATATCCATTTAAATCTATATTATACTTTTTTTTGTCTCAATTTATTTAAATTTTAAAGTTTTGATGTAAGACTTAAAAATATAATTAAAGTCTTATTTCATAATTTTTATTTTATATTTTAAACTTTTTAGATTCTTATCAATAAAATAAGCATCAAGAAAGAAAAACACATTAGTTAAAAAATGTGTTTAGGAATGCGCACTGAAAAATTGTTTTTAATCTTCACTTTTAGTAGATCATATTCTCATTTGTTAAATAATATTAAATAAAATAACTATTAATATATTTTTTTTCGATAACTACCTACAATTACCTAATTAATTTATCTCTTTTTTATTTTATTTATAATTTCTAACACTTAAGAGAGGTACATAGTGCCACTTTTTCCTACCGGTTAATAACAGTTTATATTATAACTAGTATTGTAGCATGTTCCACGTACAATCATGTTTATTATATATAATTAAAATATATAATAAATTATATGTATATATATATAAATTTTATGTTTAAATATATAAATTTTATTTAAAATTAGTATACATAAATATTTTTAAATATATATTTTTTATTTTAAATTTATAATAAATAATTTATGTTATAACAAAAAAATATTTTATTTATTGATAAGTTATTTTAAAATATTAATATTTAATTCATAACTAATTTTAATAAATAAAAACGAAATTAGATAAAAAAATAATAAATTCATACAAATATTCTCGTTGAAAAAAAGTTTCTATAAACATTCTTAGATAGAAATTTGTATTTAATATATAAAAATTAATATGAAAAAAATTTAATAGTTCATTGAAATGTAAAACAATAATCACTAGTTTTTAAGAAATTAGCCAAAACCTAGTCTTCTTCCATCCATACATTAATTTATATTACAATTTGTTATAAACAATACAGAATTTTTTTCTCAAATAATATTTTTTTAAAAAAAATTTACCAAAAAAATATTTATTACACATTATTTATCCAAATAGATCTGTTTACTGTTCACACTCAGAATTCGGTTTCCGGGGAACCGGAAACCGAATTCTGAGCAATGTTATATATATATATATTTTTTTTCTTTTGCGTTTTAATTTTTGGGAAAGAGGAAAACTGGATTCAGAACGGGCCGTTCTGATTGCAGAACGGCCCGTTCTAGATAAAAAAATATACACACGACGAATGGATCAGAACGGGCCGTTCCATGAAGAACGGGCCACTCTACAAGGAGAACAGCCTGTCCCAATTGCATAATTGATACATTCCTGAGCCAAAAACAAAAAAAAAATTTAAACACTACTCAGAATTCGGTTATCTGGAAACCAAATTTTGAGCACAAAAAAAAAATACGCTACTCAGAATTCGATTCTCCGAATTCTGAGTGTGAACAATAAACAGGTCTATTTGGGTAAATAATATATAATAGATGTTTTTTTGGTAATTTTTTTTTAAAATATTATTTGAGAAAAAATTTCATACCTGTTTTTCAATAAATGCCATGACCTTTATCAGGTAAAGAACCTTGTCTTGACATAAGTTTTAATGTCAACAGTTTGAAAAACGAAACCAAACATTTTCACTCAGAATTTTACCTAGAAGGAATTTCCCATGTGCTTGCATTTTGTTACACAAGTTAACGTTATCATCCCTTTAACAGTAGAATATACCAGGAATACGAAACTAATTGCTTTTTCTTTAAAAAAAATTTTCAAAAATTGAAAAAATAATGATTTTTGTTACACAAGTTGAACCAAACACTAAATATACATAAACCAATGGCAAGATATTAATCCCTAGTTTCTCTAACTACTAATTACCCCTCGAGAAGAACCGGTATCAGATATAAGTGCCGAGGATTTCTCTGTAGGGACACTTTGGCTCTGAGACTCAACTATATTATTTTCTCCTCTATGTTGGTAATATTGTCGCATCATCTCATATTTCTTATCATCCAATACCTCTTTTGTGTCTGACATCATCTCTTGAATAGGTGTTCTTCCTTCAAGCATGCTTACCACTGAAGACATGGTGGGCCTCAGCGATGGGGAGACTTTGGTGCATAAAAGAGCTACATTGATCATCACCATTGCCTCCCTTTTGTTGAACTCTTCACCCAACCTCTTATCCACAAACTCCATTAGACTACCTTTATCTTTCAAGACATGAACCTGGTATTGTAAAATGCAAACAAACAAACATTTGATGATTCCAAATTCATTTCACAGTTGAAAGAGACAATACCTAAAATTTTTGGTGCTTAGGTTTGTAGGTATATAGGAAATTTAGCGTGGAAAAGGTCTTATATTTCAGATAGATAATTAATCATAGTAGCCTTACAAAATGCAAGAAATTGATGTTGCATACTCAGGTCTTTCAATTTGAGAAACATCAACTGTATAGTGTATTTCCCTTGGATGGATTCAATAGATTAAAATTAAATGAAATTTGTTGTATAGTTCAGAATGTACACAACCATGCTAGATGTTCTCAAAATCAGGTTGGCATCAGTGCAGGAGAGTATAACAACATAATTTACCCAATCAAGGAGAGAGAAGCATTCTTCTATCGGCTGGCTAACGGTGTTGCTCATACCACTAACAATTTCCAACACAACAATTCCAAAACTATAAACATCTGCCTTGTCCGTCAAATAACCATGCATTGCATACTCAGGAGCAATGTATCCACTGCAGTGTAGAAAGTTCATCAATTACATATTTAATTTTTTTCATAATCTATGACGAGTTCAATTTAAATTTTAAATTTGATAATGAGGTATTTCAGTATATGACATCTAATATTTTTCTATAGTATGATAATGTGTCTAAAATATTGCTCAAAAAGGATCAATGCAAAATGGTAAAAAAGGAAATAAATGGGAACTCACTAAGTGCCAGCTATTCTGGTGCTCAAATGGGTTTTGTCCTCATCATTGAGCTTGGCTAAACCAAAATCAGATATCTTAGGGTTGAGATCTTTATCAAGCAATACATTAGTGGCCTTGATATCCCTATGAACAATCTTCAATCTTGACTCTTCATGAAGGTAAGCCAAGCCTTTAGCAATACCAACACATATCCTCTGTCTTGTTTGCCAATCCAATTTCAATTCACATTTCTCAGGGTCATCACTTTTGGCTTTGATGGAAATTAGGCAACATATGAATATAAGTTACATGAACAAGATTGTCCATTATTCCAGAAACACAAAAAATAATTGAAAATAGAGAAAAACAATTACCAAATAAAGCACGAGCAAGACTATTGTTTTCCATGTATTCATATATCAGTAACAGTTGATCATCCTCCATACAACAGCCAAAGAGCTTAACTAAACAAGGGTGTTGCAAAGCAGAAATCAGGCCTATCTCATTAATAAATTCACGATTCCCTTGCCTTGACTTAGTAGAAAGCTGCTTAACTGCTACTACAGTGCCATCTGACAGTATGCCCTGAAATGGTATACAGTTGTTCAAAAGTTGGAAAACAGCATTTCATTAAACATTAACACAACACAATTACAACATTTCATTCAATATGATCAGGAAAAAGTGGTGAATTGTAATAGAGTATACCTTGTAAACAGGACCAAACCCTCCTTCTCCAATCTTGAAGGCTTTGTCAAAGTTATTTGTTGCTGCCTTGATTTGTCGCAGGGTAAACAAAGCAGTTTGCGATTTTAAATCCTTTAGTTCTGTCAATAATAGAAGCCAACAAATTTAAGAGATATATTATATATTAGGAAAACAAATGGCTTCATTGGATCCACCATCCCAGTACTGTTGCTTTCTTTTAAAGGAGTTGGCAAAATGGTTAAGATTAAGATAATAGGTCAATTCAGGGAAACATTGGAAAGCAATTTATGCCAGACATATCCAAAAATCCATTTTTTTGTGAGCAGCAGTTCTTAGGTGTTTCATGCAAAAGGTTGGTAATCAGGTTAATTGAATTCACTTCAAGGTGATTACCTCCGGGCACTGATCTTTTCCATCCTAAGAGACCTTTCCACCACAGTATACCAAATACCAAGATGATAACAACTGCTCCAGCAACCACAATTGCAACCATAACCCCTATAGATATGCTACTACCACTTTCCAATGGTTCCGGTGGTGGTCTAAAGTCTGCATGATTATTATGCAAGAGTTAATTAGCTTAGAAGCAAAAGATTATGGCAGAAAATAGAAAACCCAATAAGTACAACTCACTAGGATCAACAGATATAGCTGATATAAGAGGACCATATACTGATCCAAATGGAATGGAAGTGGTTCCTTTCCCTGCCCAATTTAATCGGATCTCCAAGGCATTACTAGTCACAACAGCTGTGAAACTTTTAATGATTGCCTTACCAACTCCCCCTGCTTCTTTTGCAATATTGAAATCCTTAACCACCAACTTTCTCTGCAATATTGAAATTCACACAAAAATCTTTGATGGTTACCAGTGAGGAAATGTAGTAAAAAAAATTGTAGAATGCAATTTTGCATTATTATTTCATTCTTTTACTTAATTACAACTTATGAGAAAATATGGTTTATATCAAAGATTCTACTAAAGTATTTGAATTTGGTAGCATAAAGTTCCCAAAGAGACTAGTGCCCACGTTGTTCAATATTTTAACATGCGGTTGAGTAGCTTAAGAAAATTATAAAAATGAGCACCTGAATGTAGATATCAAATACACGCCTTCCAAGGCTGCTATATGTTTTATCATCGGTAAACATTATTTCTGCAAAATGGAGATTTACTGTGTAGTTTCCATTTCCCAAGCAAAATCCATAATAGGTCAAAGAATTTGGAGAAACACGTGCATCCTTGTACAGTTCAACAGTGTCCACTGAAAGCTTAGTTGTATTAGTCCAAGTGTAGTAGTTGGCATTGCTATCAAAGAAATAACCAGTGTTGATAAGTGCCCAGGTCGTTCCAGGGTAATGAAATCTTGCTGGTCCAGTCTCACTCGAATCATCATCATATGTCTTATTTCCACCAGAAGTTACAAAGTTTCCACCACAATTTATATAGAGAGAATACGTAGCTAGGACAAGTAGATATTGGTTAGCAACTATTTAAAGAATTAATTAATATTATAAACCATACTAGAAAATTATACATTAAGCTTACACTTTTACTTCCCCTTGTTCCTAACATTATAATAGAACAAAATCAGAAAAGAGAAAAAAATGAAGTATTTTATTGATTAGTGTTGGAGATCTCAATGGTATGGAAAAATTAGTGTATATAAGCGAAAAACAATCCTCACCTTATGAACTTGTCTTTTAAGATTGAATTAAACTTCAAGCTACTTTTTAAAGATATATCAAAGTCTATAATAGTGATTGTTGGTGAGTTTATTAGGTCATCATCGGACTACCCATAGACATCCAGTCTGATAAATTTCACATTTGAGATGTCCAATTCTCGATCCTTGGCATGAGGGAGGTGTGTTGGAGATCTCACATCAACTAATGGTATGTCCAAATTAGTATATATAAGTAAAGAACAATTCTTACCTAACAAGTTGATTTTGTAAAGGTTGAGTTATGCTTCAAGCCATTTAAGAATTAGAAAAAGATTAGGGCAGAAAGAATCAGGTGATAATCAGGAGTTCAAAAGATCTGGCCTCTCCAAATTCTGCAATCGGTTTTCTCTCTCTAGGATACCACATTCTAGTTTCTCTCTTATTTTTATACAGCTCCTCTCTAGACAGTTACAACCTCCCCTCTATCTAACTAACTATAAAGACATTAGTATATCATATTATAACCAGGCATATTTTGTTACATTGAATTAAGATCCCCTTAGGTCTGATTCCTGTTTTCCGTCCTATTAACTCTCCCCCAGTGGCACCTTGTCATCAAGGAGAAAATAGGAGAAAGTGTTTCGGATAGTTGCTTCTCACGTCCAAATGTTTTCACAATTTGGTAAGTTGGATCAATGAATCAATAGTTCCAAATCCCTTGGGTGCTTATAACCTATGCAGGTTGGAGGTGTAACTCATACTCTTCAGAAATCACTGAGGAAGTAGTGGAGTGTATTCCTATGTTCTTTTCAATTGGGTACTCAAGAAGGTTGGGTATTATTATTTCAAATAGAAAAAAGAGATAGGCAGATTATTCTACTTCCTCTCTCTTCGAGAGCACAAACTTTGAAATACAATTCAAAAGAGAATCACAAAAAGTATCTCTCTCTCAAACTACCCTATATTTATTATCATCTCTCTCAACTAACTTCCTAAAATGGACAAAAGCATATAAATCCTAAAGATAACCTATGATAGCACTACTCAAATAACATAATCCTAAACTAGGGTGTCCATAAATTACTCTTGACCTTGATTCCTAAGCAAAGTGAAACATTTTAGTGGGATGGAGCATGTGAAATCTAGATTTTAGGCTTGGCTTAGTAAAAATGGTACTTCCTACTTCATCTAATAATGAATTTATTAATAGAATTGAAAAATTGTTGCCTTGTTGGTCATTGTAATTTTAAGGCCTTCTAATCTAAGAGAAATCGCCATCCCTTGTCTTTCTTCTTGAGCAAAATAATAGGAACGAAGTATAGGTTTGATGGAAATAATGGTATTTATTTAGGAAGTAATATGTCCATACATCTCGTGCTTATATGCGTTTAGTGTTCATGGATACTAGTCTCCACTCAGTCTATCAATTATCTAAAAATATGATGATATGCAGAACCTATGCGCTATATTTTCTGGCATAAGAAAGCTTTTCATTCTCTTAAATCTCCCCCTCTAAATTCAACCTAGTATCAAAGCAGTATCATTCATCCTGACTTGTCCTGTCATAGTTATACTGCCACATTCCAAAATTATAGAACCATTCTACTTTTCAGCAACTTTGCTCTCTTGTTCTATGTAGCCGTTTGATCTTCCTCATTTTTTGTCACCAATACCACTGCCCATACCGACATTTTTGTCACCACTTGTAGTAGTTTTCTCTCCGTCAAAGCAGTTTTCTCCAATTTGGAAGGCCTTTAGCATACATTTCCTGCTCCATCACCACCATTACTATCTCCATCTTTTGGTAACCTTAATCCAGCAAACCACCATTGTCACTGGAAAATTTTCCAGCAACCTTTCTGGCTGGAACCACCACAATCGATTAACTTGAAGCACCAAGGCTCAGGCTTTATTTAGGATAATATTCCATTTTGTTGGCTTTCTATCAACATATTAACTTATCAATTAGGTTTAGGGCTTGTTTGAATAAACTTCTCCAAAAGCACTTATAGGAGAAAAATATAAGAAAAAATGAAATTAGCTACTCTATAAGTTAAAACTTACTTATGCATAAGCTAATTTTTAGAAGCTTTCCTATACTAGCTTCTTTAAAAATTATTTTTAACTTGTGTATAAACTAATTTTAACTTCTACAAAAGTTTATTTTATTTTTCCTTCTTATATTTTTTCTCCTATAAGTATTTTTAGAGAAGTTTATCCAAAAAAGCTCTTGGTATCTTACAACAACTTTATTTGTATAAAAATATGCAAATCTAGTATAAAGATAGTTATCCCTTTTCCACTGTATCCCTAACTAAAAAAGTTACTCTTAATGTCAAAATAATAATTAACAATCAATACTATAGTGAAATCCAAGATAAACAACTTACTTTTCGGACACTGAATGTTTGACAAACATGAAATATTTCCTCTGAAAAAATAAAATAAAAAAAGGAATGTGGGTGAGGTAGGGGTAACAAATCAGCACACATCATAACCCATATAAAACTAGTTAAAATTTAGGGGGAAGGGGTTGGTAGAAGGAAAATTTTTTCATGCTCGAAAATCATGATTCTTGAGAATAAAAATTCCGGAAATTGTGATTCTTATAAATAATTAAAATGCTTAGTTGGTTATAAATGATTCTTAAGAATATTCATATATAATACTTAGGGATCAAAGATTTTAACTACATTAAATAAGTAAATAAAGGAAAAGTCACAATAAAATATTTCTTTTAACATAGGAATTTTAGATTGCACCCCCTTCCTCTGCGGGAAACAATTTTGTGAGAAAATCTATTTGAAAGACATTCCTAGGAAACAAAGTTTTATATTTTTTAAATAATAAACCAAACATGTAAAACTAGCATTCTAAACTTCAGATTACATATAAAGTAAAAACTCCCCTTATACCAAACGCTCCCTTAGTGAAAAAGAAAAATAGAATTAAGAACTCCAAACTTACAAGTTGTTTCCAAAAAGTCTCATCTGTCACTTATACTTAAACGAAACTATTTTGAAAAGGAAAATATCAGAACTTCAATTAATATCTTTATAGAACATCTTCCCTAGTGGACGATAAATCCTTCAGACGCATTGATAGTAAGTTAAGCAAACTCTAGTTAATCGTCTGATATTCAAAAGTGTAGTGGACGAAGAGCACTACTGTTGCGAAAACATTTTTAAAATACCTTTGTTCGCACACACACATATTCAACCGCCCCTCGCCCCATTTCTATGTGTTTTTCGCTAACTTCACACTTTTTACTTGTTCTTGATTTAGCATTGATTGATACTTGTTTTGGCCTTTCCGTCTTATGCTTGATCATTTTTCTTCTTGTGTTAGGCTTGGCTTTGTTGAGTTTTCCATCTGATGCTTGAAGCTTTTACCCTTTATCTTGATTCTAGTGTAGGAAGTGGCACACGCACATACTCTATTCTTTAACCTGCTTGTACTTATGTTTTTCTGAAACACTAACGTAGTTGGTAGAAATAACAGCATGTATTATATTTGTCTCATTCAAAACCTTGCTGGGAATTGTTTCGTCTTACTTAACATGAATACTAATGAAGCTTTTTCTCTTTGATCTATTAAGGAATATAAAAAAAATGATAAAAATACCATACATATTTAATGTGATATTTAAAATATTCATCTAAGACGGACATATGTTCAGTTCGATAAACTATCATGCGTAGTCATATGTTGTATCATCTTAGTATGCATTTTGTGTTATCGTCTTAACATTTGGTTCTTTATGCTTTGCAAAAATGTTATGTTTGTTATAATTTAAACATAACTTTTAAGAAGTCGTAATTTGCCATTTGCCCTTTGATCTAATATGCCCTTTGATCGTATAGGGACTAATCGTGAAAATCTTGAGTTTTTTGTAGATTCTCCATTTGAGTTTGAAGAGTGTCTAGTTTGGTTGTAATAGCCTTTAAAGTCTCTTCCATCTCTCTTTTATGTGGTTTAAGAGGCACATGGGAGATAATGAAAGTACCAAGTTGTTTGGTGGAAAGTAAGAAAAAGACTAAAATTGAATATAAGAAAAGAAATACTTCCTTCATTGATAATTGTCTCAAGGAAGTACAATCCCTTTCTAAAATAAAGAACCTTTAATGGCTCCAAAAAGAAAACCATCCACGTGGTAATTTAAAAAACAAAATACATTACATACAGTAGTTGAGACATTGGAGGAATGGATGTGCGCCTGGCTTTGGATCTAGTAGTGGTGTGATTAGTAGTGAAATTTGGGTTACTAACACAATTTATCTTCTTTCACCAGATAGTATATAGTCAAACATACATGCATTACAAGATGCTTAAAGGATAGTTTTCAATCCATGTACAAGATATGATTGATATTACAAAAGAACAATCTAATGCAAAACACTAAACCAAGCTAGTGAGGATGAAAATAGTAGATATGCATAGCCTTACCCCTCAAGCAATGAGACAATTTCCAAGATTTGAATCCTCGACCTTTGGGGTAAAATATATGAATAACATTATAGTTGATGCAAAACAATGTGTGCCCCGTGTTTTGGCTGCAAAGTGAGAATAATCGTTGGAGCATGAGCATAGGATGGAGAAAGCTCAAATGAGAAATTTTGCAGAAGCAATGATAACCCTATCTTGACTTCCAATAAGGCAAAGTTTTGGCCAATACATATTCTAGGACCCCATCCAAATGGGAAAAATGAAACTTGGCCTTTTGTGACCTTAGCAATTCCTTCAGAGAACCTTTCAGGTTTGAACTCCTTGGCATCATCACCCCAGATGTCAGCATCAAGGTGAATCAAAAATATTGGCATGGTAATGTTTACTCCTGCAGGTAGTGATAGGTTTTCAAGTTTCATGTCCTTTTGAAGAGTGCGACTAAAGAAAATTGCTGGAGGGTATAACCTTAGAACCTCATATAGAATCATAGTAACCTATTGAAGAAACATTATGGCAGATGTTAGCACAAAATATATGTTTAATAAAAAATCATGGTTTAAATACCTTTTTAATTTTTATAATTTCATGAACTTTTATAGAACATCTTCCCTAGTGGACGATAAATCCTTCAGACGCATTGATAGTAAGTTAAGCAAACTCTAGTTAATCGTCTGATATTCAAAAGTGTAGTGGACGAAGAGCACTACTGTTGCGAAAAGAGTCAGGTTTATCTATCCACTGAGGCAGTGATCCAGTGAGAAGATTCCCATCTAAAAATCTAGTAAAACCAATATCAAGAAGTCAATTCATATAACTTAATTATTGACAGAAAAATGGTAAATATATTAGTAAACTATATCCAAAATTATCTGGACTGTCTTCAAGGATTTATTTGGTTTTACCATACCTATATTAGTTTCAATTTAGTGACTAACATATATGAATGACAAAAATTCCAGACACCAGTATTTCTGTCGGCTCTCTTACTCCTTAATTCCCTTCACTGCTTTTCCTATTCAGTTTTTCTTTAATATCTATTGCTTTTTCCCTCAAAAGAAAATAGAAAAATAATTATCTGATGGAAAAAATGTTTCTTTCGAAGGTTTAAATACATTATCTAAACATTCAAGGAAAATCAAATCACAGATGATACGGGTGCATTCCAAATAAAAAAGAACTACAGAAAAAACAATCAGTTAAAGTCTTTAGTTGGGCAAACAGATTCGTAGTTAGCAAATTCATGCCATCATACTGTTTGCGCACCGGAAATAACTCAATTTGAACTTTTAACATTTTCAAACTATAATTGAAGACAATCAAACGAAATAAAATAGCACTATCTAGCTCCTCGGAAATGTATGAGGTTATTTTGGTTTAATCGTATAGGAAAACTAAAGAAAATTTCTTACAGAATATTCAAGTTTTGAAGGCCATCAAAACTGATCGGAATTGGTCCACTTAATTTATTGTAGCTAAGGTCTCTGGAAAAGAAATTATAGTCAGAATATGTTCTTTTCTAAGAGGAAAATTAAAGTAAAGAAACATTAAATATAGCTCTATAATACAGTGAATGAAACAAGTATGTTGAAGTTCTTCAATTCAATGAGCGTAAAATACAAGAATTTTACAAAGTTCTAAATATACTAAAATACCGCAAAAAAAATATATCAAGATTTATTATAGAAAAGATATATTAAAGGGAAGGAAAACAAAATCAGCACTTACAATACTTGCAAAGTAGTCAAGTTTCCAAGATACTCAGGTAAGGATCCAATAATGTTGCAACTCCTCAATATTCTGGCAACCAATTAGACAATATTAAAGTGATAGCAAGAACACATGCATCTCTTAATTTTCTATCCCTGAAGCATTTTCTTAGTATGGTATTAACTTGAATAGTAAAAATAATAATCATAATCTGATCATCTGACTCACAGTATTTCCAAATTCGTCATATTATTAAGTTGTGGAAATGACGAAACAGATCCATTCAAGTCAGTAACCCTCCTGCATATCATATTTTAAACACTTAAATCACAAGATAAAAAAGCATGTTATTGAATCTTTGGTTTCATTAGAAAGCAACATACTTACAGGTCAGTAAGGTTTCTCAAAATTGAAATGCCAGGAGGAATTGGCCCACTCAAACCACTCCCTTGCATCACACTGAAAATATTTTTGGAAAAAAATGGTTTGGATAAGATGAAAATATGTAAAACAATTTAAAACAACTTATGTTCATTAAAAAAGGAGGAAAAAAATAATCACACAGTAGCTCGAGATTTATCCAGCTCTGTATAAAATTGGGTATTGCTCCAGAGAATTGATTGCCACCAATACGACTGCATTGTAGGAGGGCAAGCCGCAAATATAAGCTAATTATGTAAGAGTTACAAAACCAAACATAACCATTCAACTAACTTTCTAATGTTTCAGAAGAGTTGGTTCTCGATGCGGTATCTACACCTCTATAACCTAATGATTAAGCATTTGATCCTTATCACCCCAACTCTTCCAAATAAAGTTGAATTTCATATTAAGAGATTACGCCTATGCATTGTCAGTGTCAAATACAATCTAGCACATTAAAAGCAAGAAGCTTACACATGCTTCAATGTTGTGAGCCTAGCCAATGTTGCAGGTAACTCTCCAGTGAAATAGTTGGAGGTTAGATGCCTTAAGGGACAGCAAATAATCTATATTTAGTTTCAGAAATTAAGATCAATCAACCAAAATAAAATTGATACAGAGACTATTCTGAAAATGGCGTACAGTCTTTCAATCTGAATAAGATTCCCAAGCTCTGGAGGAAGATTTCCAGATAGTTCATTGAACTCCAATACCCTGTCCACTTTAAAGTAAGTTCCTCTAAACTTACACAAAACAAGAAATAACAAAAAGGGTCAAACTGTAATATCTAAAATCAGAACAGAAACTTACAAACTTTTGAGAGTGGTGATGTTTCCAAGCTCCTTTGGGATTGGACCAGTTAGACGGTTTCCATAAAAGGAACTTGCCAAATGAAAAATTGTACAATTAGATTCACCATTCATGTTTTGGGAAATAAATACAAGATAACAAATTAACGAATAAAAAATATGAAACATACAAAAATGAAAACCTATTTTCCTTAAATCTATCTAGAAGAGAATCATTTGTTTTACTTGGTAGGAATTACATACAATAATAACATGGTTTGAACCAAAAATCCTGTATATGCAAATCAGTCTTAAAAATCTCATATCAACTAGAGATAAGACTATAATGATATGCATAAGTGAGAAATAACTCTCACCATATAAATCAGACTTGTAAGATTGAATTAGGCTCTAAATTTCACTTTCTTAAGAATCTCAACCCCTATCACCAAGTCGATGCTAGTGATTATCCTAAAGAGAATCTAATTAAATACTATTTATTTTAGAATGATTTAAATTGGGCCATTGATGCTCAAAGGAAGCAAAATTAACAGTGCAAGTGTGCAACCAAAGGAAAAAGAGTAATAAATTACATGTTGACAAGGTTTAAGGTTCCCAATTGTTTAGGAATTGTACCATTAAGGTAGTTGAGGGTGAAGTCACTGCAACAAAAAGAAAGAATTAATGAATCAAATACAAGTGAATGAAAGTATAGATTATAACAGTGAGATTGCAAGAAACATACATTTCTTGGAGATAAGGCAACCTGACAAGCTCCGGTGGGACAGTACCCGAAAGATTTTGTGCTTTTAAAACGCTGTATAACCATTAAAAACCATGAATTTGTCAATGCAGATTGTAGAAGTCCATAAACCTGACCAGTACACTTTTTTTACTATCCCGTCCCCGTTCCCAAACCTCATCCGACAGCTATGAAATTTGTATTGTATATCTATATTTGTCAAATATGAAATTTGTGTCCCCATTTCTTTTCATAGGATATAGAATTTGTGTCGTCATTCCTATTTTCATCGGATATCAGGTATACGGGTCGGATATCTAATACATTTATATTCATTCAAAAAAGTAATAAAATAATTTTTTTAAATTAAAAAAATAAATTTTTAACATATAATAATAATAATTACGAAATTACATAATTAAATTTTATTTAACAGAAATTTAAAATAAAAGAAAAATTAAATAAATATCAAGTAAATTTTTTAAAATTAAATTAAATTTTTAGAAATTTAAAATAGATACGAATATGAGTACGGAAATGGATATGGTATATATATACTCACCTAGTACTCGATTTGAAGTCTCAGATATTACTCATACTCGGATTCATACTCAATCAAATCAGAGATTTTCTGTTAAAGAATGACTGGACTTATATTCTTTTTACCTAAAATTTAAAGGATATATGTGTGATTTCCGAAATATTTGTTCATTATCTTTAAATATAGTTTATTTACATTAAATTAAAAAAATATATCACGTTCTACTATTGCATGAAATATTAAATATGAGTATTTATTGACGCTCCCCTGTTTTTCTGTTGAACCGAGTCGACGCTGTTAAGATTAATAATATCATTATCACGGTTGGTTTGATATCATTTTCAATTTATGATTTTTTATACATATTTTAATTTATGAATTTGCTTTGATTTTGACACGAAGAGATACATACTACTTTTCACTTTTTGTAACTAGTATTTAGTTTTAGTCAACACGTTTTTCTGTAAGCCTTTTATTTTTAATGAAGAAAATTCTGTAAGCTATTAGCCACTTCTTTTGAACTCTGAATATTTACCATCTAACCTATTACTGGTTAAAACATTTAGGTGAGTAAGACTAATAAAGTTATTCGAACTCGAGACAGAGAGAGAGACTTACATGGCAACGACATGACAAACAGTGTGATTGAGAAAGGAACAATTGCAAGTGACACCATTTTGTGTTTGTGAACCTTGCAATTGAAAGGACCATGTCCAATTACTCTTTCCACTACATGGATCTACGCTGAAGTCCCAATTCTTCTTCCCAATTATGTTTCCTATGTCTCTCAGAGCTTTCACTAATCACACAAGTACAAATATACAATTATTAATCAACTCCATCAACTACATATATAACCAAACTCCAACACAAATCAAAGCAAGAACGAGACTAATTCACAAAGATGGTGTAAAAGTATTTTTTTGAGAGTTTTTCTACTTGATAACACTTATATCTTATATTAAAATGAGCTCCAAGTATATCATTACTACCTTCATCTTGTGGCAAAGTGGCTCCAAAAGCAAACGGAGTGAGGCAAAGAGGGAGAAGGAAAAGAAGAGGAAAACCAGAGAAAGCACCCATCATTCATTATTTTCTGATGGGACAAGAATGGTAATTTAAATTGGGTAAGGTAGTACCAATAGAGATGGATGGTGTGTATATTGCATATATTATATTGTATAGAGGTACTGGGTGGTGTGTATATATCATATATTATATGGTAAACTTTCAGTACTAGCTAGTATTAAAGTCATGAACGACAAAACAGGTTAATAAGAAAAGACTTTTTGCTTGACCAAAAATGAAAAAATAAAAATGCCTTTTTGTGGTAGCTAGTTGCCATTATTAAATTGCCGGGAGTTCTAAGGTATTCATATATATATATATAAAAGAATGGAATACCAGTACCAAAATTTTTACTTGGAATATAAATGACTCCGTTTGTATACTGTAGAAAAGCGAGTAGAGGAAAGAGGATTCACATGACTAGTTTCAGATTCAGAGGTTTTTTGTATTGCAAATGAGAGTGAGAAAATGTGAAAAATCTTGGCATGCATTAGCTTTAGCTCTTTGTTCAATTAGTAAAATATATGTCTGGGAAAATGGATGAAACAAGTACAAGATCCCCATTCTTTAGGCATTGTACTATTGACATAATTGCAACTAAGGTCCCTAAAATTGCAAATATTGGTTAGTTGTTGCAATGAAACAAGTAGATAAGGAGTATTTAATTTTTTCTGAATTAATGTGAGCAAAATTTTAAGAATAACAAAACATACTTTTCTTTAATAGTGTGTTTAGACGAGGAAACTTAGAAATTCAAGGAATTTGATATTCTTAAAATTTGAATTATTTTTATTTCAATTTCATTCATTCTTTAAATATTTTGTTTGGATAAGTCAATTCAAATTTTTAAAATTTTAAAGTTTGATTTCTACCATGATAAATATGATTATATATATATATAAATGTATATATATGTATATATATATATATAGAGAGAGAGAGATTTTAAGATTAAATTTTATAAAAAAAAATATAAAAAATTTTAAATTTTTTTTAAATTTTTCATCTAAACAAATCATTTCACCTTAAAACATTTGAAATTCTTCAAAAACAAAATAAATTATTTTATTCAATTCTCTATCCAAACATGCTTTTAAGGTAAATTCTAGTGGAAGATTGCTTAGGAGATTTTATATTTTCAAAAACTTGCATGTTCACAAGTTACTGACAAGTCAAGGGTACTTTTTATATTTTATAATTTAATACATAATTGTAAAACTAATGTAGTGTAACATTGTTGATCAACTGCACATTATCTCATATATTTTCAAGTCTTTATCAAGTCAAACTTGAGCTTTAAAAAAGGGAGCAATAAACAAATTGAATAGGTGTGGACAAGAATAAGCCTAAACCCAATACAACACATGCTAGGAGTGGTAAAATGAACTCGGACCCTATTTATACCTGCAAAAATATCCTCATACGAGGTGAGTAAATACTCACTTATATGGGGATAGGTACAGGGTAGTTATAGATCCGTAAAATTTAATGGATATGGATATAAGTATGGGTATGTGTACTATGATACTCAACCCATCTCGCCCCACAGTTATATATATATATATATAAT